TCCTCCTCCTCCTCCTCCTCCTCCTCCTCCTCCTCCTCCTCCTCCTCCCCCTTGTCCGAGCGAGGCCACCTTCTCGGCTGCACGACGAGGTCCGAGCGGAGCCCGGCACCGACCGACGAGATGCCGGAGCGGAGGAGGGCCCTGCGGCGAGGGCCCGCCGCGCCCGCACGGCGGAGCCGTGCGCGTCCGTCAGCGACGAAGGCCCAGGGACGCACAGACAAGTGGGCACAGAAAAATATGTTAACATCAACATGCTGGTGCAACTGCCAACTAATCGGATCCCGATAAAAAACCGTCGGATCCGATCTCCTCCTCCGCAAAAGAAACAGCCTCCGCAAGGAGACGGTCCCAGACCGCCTGAATGGCAGGCGTGCTCGCAGAGGCAGAGGAGGACAAAGGGGCAGCTGGAAGAGGGACCTGAAATGCACAAGATGCAACCCCTATAGTAAGGATACTCTATGAGGATGCAAGGGTCTTGGGGCACCCAGTTCGAAGCCTTTTGAGCGGGGCGCGGCCAACGAAAGCGGCCAAGGGTGGGCCGAGGAGGCAAGGATGCAAGGGTACCCTTGGGAAGGTTGCACATCCTTACTACGCGGATTCCCCATAGCTTCCCATATTTTCTCGAGTTTCGTCTTCCCCCCCACGTCCCGCTTTTGTCCCATCTTTTCCTGGGAATCGAGGATGATTTGTGTCTGTGTGTGTTTCCCTCTTGGGCCAGGCGTGGTGCAAATAGATCCCTCCACCGAGGGGTCATCCGTATGGCGCGCTTTTCTTTCGCCGGCCGCTGCCGCCTGCTCCTCTTGCCCTTCTACACACGATGCCTTCCGAGGACCAGCCTCGTCGGCACGGAGGGGTGAGAAAGATAGCATGGTTTGCCTGATCGTGGTATGTCATATGTGCCCTGCCGCCTAACGTTGATGCCGCAGGGCACCGTTTCAGGCTCAAAAGGGCAAAACATTCATGATCACCTTCCTGCCCCATCAGGGGCCCTCAGATACTCACATGAACTGCCATGCGCACCAGCGTCGTCGAGCATGATGCGGCCACGACTGGGTCCCCTTCTCTGCCACCACACAGTAGTTGCTGACAACGTCCGATGTTCATGGAAAACTATCACGCGCAAGAATGATGCTCGACAGGTCTGCTGTGATGACTTCGGACTGAGCTGCAAGAAGCCGAATACATGTCAACCATCGGGAAGGGAAAGTTAACGTGCTGCTTGGCGCGGACGGGAGCGGGCAATACACACATCGGCACGTACCGATATATATATATATGTGTTTGTAGATCTAGATATAGATATCGATATAATCATAGCTATATAGATACACATAGATATATATATATATAACTATAAGTAAATATAAACATATATACATATAGACATAGATATAGATATAGATGTAGATAGCTATATGTAGGTGTGTATATATAGCTATATGCATATATACATATATATATAGAGACATCGATGTATATATATATATATATATACATATATATAGATAGCTATGGGTATATATATATATATACAAAAATGTGTATATAGTATATAGCTATAGATATAGATATATATATATATATATATATATATAGATATATATATATATATATATAGATATAGCTAAAGATATATATATAGATATAGACATGTACATCAACCCCCTCCCCTCCTGCACGCTCTCCTTGAATCTTGGCGACGATCCTGAGCGGGGCAAGGTGGAAGCACTGAGGAGGAGCACGAGGAGGAGAACGCTGGCGCGGACGAAAACAAAGGTCGAGGGCGAGAGAAGGAGACCGAAAGGTGAAGATGGGGAGGAAGAGGAACGACAGGAAGAGGAACACAAAACAGAACAAAACAAATTACACCAAAGAAGAACCCCAATCAGTGGATGGTTTTCGCTGAGGAGATCGACCAGGAACCCGGGAGCCCGGGCACCCAAATCCCACCGACATCGGCCGGGAACCAATAACCGGGAACGCGGGAACCTGGAACCAGGAACCCGGGAACCCAGGCTGCTACCAAAATCGGCGGGAAACTTTCGCCAAATCTTTCAACTTCCGCTAGGACCCCTTCAGTGCAAGCACTGATTGGGGAATTACCAGGCGCCAGGCGGCGCATTGGCCACTCATTGATGTCGGAAGGCTTTGCCCCCAAAGCTGGCCTTCAGAACAGTTGATCACGTGATGCATGCTGCGACGTCTCTCCAAGACTTGTCTGCCCTGGCAGGATCCAAGACTTGGTCGTTCCAGTGTTGCCTGGGTCTGCCCACGAAGAACACGAAAAACACGAAGACGAAGACGAAAAAGGAGAAGAGCGCGAAGAAGAGGAAGCGCAGCATCGGACGGATCAACAAGGAGTGCCCCCGTGACGCGGAGCAGCATCGCGCAACGACAGCGGGAGAGGGCGCGATGCGACCCTGGCACGCCTGGCTGCCGTGGCTGCGCGCGGCGCGGAGCCTGCAGGCGTGACTGATCGAACTTGCTAGCGGGAGCCTTCCGAGCCTCGGGGACGTACAGTCAAGGCTGGTGGTGAGGATGCGCGATGGGGATGCAAGCCGCTTGGACGCCCATGTCGAAGCGCTTGGAGCGGGGCAGACCATCGAGAGTGGTTCAGGAGGGACCGAAGAGGCAAAAATACAAGGGCGCCCTTGGGAAGCCTGGGGGGGGGCGCGGGCAAAACCGGGCGGTAACGAGGCGCCCAGAAACGCACACTGCGGATTTGGGAGGCAGACAGGCGGGCATCGCCCGAAGCAGCTCCAAGGCGAGGTGGCGACCATGGAGTCAGGAGCGGTCAGCATCGAATCAAGAGGTCGGATCGGATCGGATCTCATTGGGACGCATCGGCGCGGGGTCGGAAACGACAGGATGCACAACAGCGCCATGCAAGAAGCATCGGGACGCGTCGGATCGTCGGAGAATCGGAATCGTGCCGGATCGGGCAAGGCGAGATCGATCTCGAATCGAATCGATCAGATCGAAATAGACCCTGGGGAAGTGAGCAGTCAGCACCCATAGCGCCTGGAACTGCATCGCTGGTGACGGATGAGATGGCCGCAGGCGGGCCAGGAGCGGCGGCGGGTGCACGCGTGGGCTGGGCCGCAGCGGCACCGCGCGCACTCGCAGGCTGCGCCGCAGCGGCATGGGGGAGCGGGTGCTCGCGCGGGTCACGTCAGAAACATCAGGGCCGATTGCGCAAAGAGGCCGCACGCGCTGCAGAACTGGAGACGGCGTTGGAACACTGTGTAGCGGGTGCTGCCGCGAGGACTGGGCCGCAACGGCACAGTGCGCGCGCAGGCTGGGCAGTGGCGGAACGGACGGCCGCGTGGCCCGGAGTCGAGGCCCTCCCTCCCTTCCGTCGCCGAGCGGTGCAGACTGCCTGGGGACGGGCCTGGGAGTGTGGCCCTCAGTGCCACGAGGTGGCCGCCGCCGCCGACGCCCACGTGGGTCGCGGACGGTGCGGCGACTGCGCGGGCGTGCGGGTTCGCTGCCCCATGCTGACCTGTGAGATGCACACCACGGCTGACGAGGACCCCATGCGGACAGAACACCACGTGCTCTCGTCGCGAGAAGCGGGGCGCGGCTGCGCAGCTGGCCAAGTGGCAGGAGTTATACAAGAGTTCGCACAAAGTAGAAAGGCAAGCATTGCTGAACACGCCCGGCCATTCGCCAGCGTGGCAGCGCAGGCCCCCGGATCTCTCATTCCGACGACGGGACGGGCCGACAAAGAAACGCGGGCAAGGCAAGGGACAGGAGCAGGCAGGACAGCGAGGAGCCGAGGAGCGCGAAAGGGAGGGGGAGCGCAGCAGAAGAGCACAACAACGAAGATCTCCCTCCTTCCCTCCTCGGGGTGCTCCTCGCCCTCCCCCCAAGACTTCCGACGGATCGATGTTTCAGCCCGCGGGCCCCCCGGGTCTCGACCACACTCTCCTGGGGCAGCTTTGCGTCCCGGGCGTGTACGTATTTCTGGTGATCCCAGGGGCCGTACACCTCAGGGGGGGGGGAGCAAGAAACCCATCCGCCCGAGGTCTGGGTTCTCCTCCTCCTCCTCCTCCTCCTCCTCCTCCTCCTCCTCCTCCTCCTGCTCCTCCTCCTCCTCCTCCTCCTCCTCCTCCTCATCCTCCCCCCGAGGTCTTTGCTAAGTCGAACTCGTCGTTGCTCCACAGCTCTTCCAGCGTCAGGCCGAGGGGCTCCCCGTCGACCCTCCGCCACTCGCGGGCTGGCGAGAGGGGCTCGCCCCCCTCCCGCCGCGAGGACGAAGACCCACGCCCCGGCCCTCTGGGGGCGGCGAGGATCGACGATCGACGATCGAGTAGCCTTGTCGTGCCTCGATCGGGGATCAAGGGGCTCGAAGATCGAGGATCGAGGGGATCGACGATCGAAGATCGACGATCGAGCATCGACGATCGAGCATCAAAAGGCTCGAAGATGTTGAGCGTTTGGGGACTTCTTGAGCCTCCGGGCGCCTCTGGAAGCTTCCGTGACCGAGGAGAAATGGCAGCGGGGGATCGGCTACGGGGGGGAACCAAGGGAAGGACACCTCACGGGCACCAGCTCGGGATCAGCCCCGCACTGGCCCACAAGATTCTGAGGACGACAACAACGAGGACACGAGCATAGGGGAGAACGAACGACGAGGCGACAGAGGAGAGGACACCTGACGCTGCCAGGACAGCGGGGGGAAACATCGCCCTGGAATCGGCGATACATCGCCGATAGTTCGGCGATGGGCCTCCGATTACGAATCCGAACGTTCCTGGCCAGGTTGAGCTATCAGGCCCCTATCAGGGATCAGTGGTCGATTGGGGGTCGATGCATCGCCCACGAGCCTTTCCCCCACACACCACACACACACACACACACATACATTGCCCCTGCAGGGCACTCCGCGGGACCTCTGAAGCGCCTGCAGGGACCTCTGAAGCCTCTGGACACCCAGACTTCCAGCGTCACGATGAAAATGGCGACTGGAAGGACTGAAAACGATAACCATCATAACGAAGGCTGGACGACCAAGGTAGACAACCCGCCCCCAGAGCAGCGTTGATAACTGCAGAGGCTACTGCCACGAAAAAGCATTATGCTACCGCACCGAACTATGCCATAACACGCCGGCTTTCGACCACGGACATACAGTCGGCCTTGATTAGACAGGACACGCGAGAGGACACAAGACCCTTCCGAGGGTCACATCGCCATAGGAGTGTAAGAAGGCACGTGTCGCGAGGCACAGGACACAAGGGTACCCTTGAGCTGGCAAGGACGACCTACTGTTCCGGGCCGACTGTACCAGCGCCGACACTGAAAATAAGCTCCCAGGAGCTGCATCCGGATCTGGGGCCTACGGAACGAAAAGACGAGTGCGGCGACAGCTCGACCAAAGGCCAGCCAACGCGTTGGGCACCTAATTTTGGAGGTGTTCCAACGCGAGGGACCCCCGAAAATCGATCAGAAAAGTGGGATGATGCCAGATTCACTCAAAATTGGTCCCTAAATCCGCCTCAATCCTGGGCCCCGAAAGCAAACCCGGAGGCCGAGAAGGCCGAACAATAACAATAATAATACGAATAACTATAAGCATATGATTCGTATTATCACTATGATTAATCATGATATGAATACTACAACCGCGCGCGCTGCGCACGCGCATATGTTCTACCGCTGGGCAGGTCAACGTCACAGCAGACCGGCTTCGTAGACGGAAGGCCACTACAAATACTGGCCAGGAACTGTCAGCATTCCCGCATGGAAATACAATGTGTTGCGGGGGGTGCGGGGGGGGAGAGGCGGGGGTGGAAGAGGATGAAGGGAGGAAGAAGGCAAGGAACTAGAGGAGGAAAAGAGGGCGGCGGGGCAAGCAGAGGGAAAATGGAAGCTGACAGGAGGAGGAAGAGGAGGAGGACAAAGAGGAAAGAGAAGAGCAGGAGGGGAGAAGGCAGCACGGGAAAGCCATGAGGAGCAACATCGGGCGCGCAGAAGGGGCACGCCGAAGGCGTGTCTCCCCTTCTGGTCAGATCTCCTGATTCTTCAAGCAGGTCCCTGGACCTGCTGAGGAAGTGCAAAAACAACTGTTGATTCCAAAGCTCTCCAGGGACCTGCTTTCAGTCGTCTCCACTAGGTGGGCCATCGTAGTAAACGTCCTGTGGGCCAAGTCGGGGTCATATTGTGACCACGATATGGGGGCCTCTTAGGGTCTCGTCGGCGATTTGGGAGGACAATCTCGGGAGCCGGGCTGGCTCGCGCAGAAGCTAGAAAAGCGGATACGCCAGAATCACAACCCAAAACACATCAATAATTTGTGCCTGGTCACGCCCTCTTGGGCGCGCTTTTCGGGGCCAGCTTGGGGGCGCTTGGGAGGCTATTGGGGCCGCATTTCGGCCTCTTGGGGGCCCTTTCAAGGCTTTTGAGGACCCTACTGACGGTCTCGGGAGTCTCCTTGGGGCGGAGGGCTTGACATGTCAGTTCGAGCTCCTCTTATTGTGTCCCTCCTGCCGCCCTCTTGAATCCCTCTTGGCCGTCTGACGCGCACGTTGGGGCGTCTTGAGGCTCGCTTGGGCCGTCTTGGGACCTCTTTGCGGGCCTCGGGGGCCGTGATCGGGCGATCTTTGGGGCCCTCCGGGTCGTGTTGGACGCGGCTTAAACAAAAAAGGGATGTGCTAAAAATTGCGCTTCCCCCGAAAGGGGCCTCTCGCGGCCCTCTTGAGAGGCCTCTTGAGGCACGCTTGGGCCTTTGGGGGGGCCCCTTGGCCGTCTTGAGGCCATCTTGAGCAGTCTTGGAGCGCTCTTGGGGCGCTCTCGGGTCGTCTGGGAGGCGCTTTGAGCTGTCTGGAAGCCATCGCGGGTGCTCTTGGAGCGCTCTCAGGGCCGAAAACACGCCCCAGCCCCCGGTGCTAAATTGGGTTACCCAGGGGGTGGCCCCATTTGTCAGTCTGTGCCGGGGGAGGCCTGGGGGACCAACACTCCTCTCTTTATATTAATATGTATATATATATACACACACGTACATGTGTGTCTCCGCACGCACCATGGATACCCCCTGTCCTCTTGGAAGATGACAAGAGGAAGGGGGCGGTTCAGGTGCGTGCGCCCGCCGCGGAGGCGGAGGTTTCGGAGTGGTTTGGTTCGTGTCTTGGAGGCGGAGGCTGTTGAGTACTGGTGTTTTGAAGACGGAGGGGGTTAGAGCAGAAGGTGATTTGCCAGTTCAGCTTGGGGGGAGCCTGTTCAGTAGCTGGTGTTGCGTTGCAGACGGAGGCTGTTGAGTACTGGGTGTTGTGTTGCAGACGGAAGAGGTAGAATAGAAGTTGATCTTCCAGTGCAGCTTGGAGAGGGAGCATGTTGAGTATTGAATGTTGTGTCGGAGACAGGGGCTGTTGAATACTGGGTGCTGCGTTGTAGACGGAGTTGGTTGAATAGGAAGTTTTGTTCAAGTTCATATCGGGGAGGGAGCCTGTTGAGATTTCGGTATTGCATTGGAGAAGAAGACTGGTTAGTACTGGGTGTTGTTGTGTAGACGGAAGGGCTGGGTTGAAGGTTATTTCCAAATTCAGCTTGGGGAGAGAGCCTGTTGAGTCTTGAGTGATGTGTTGGAGGCGGAGGCTGTTGACTACTGGGTGTTGATTTGTGTTGTAGACGGACGGGGTTGAGCACAAGGATATTTTCAACTTCAGCTCTGGGGGAAACCTGTTGGGTATTTGGTGTTGTGTGAGAGACGGAGGCTGTTGAGCACGGGGTATTGCGTTGTAGGAGGAGGGGGTAGAGTACAAGGTTCTTTTCAAGTTCATCTTGGGGAGGGAGCCAGTCGAGTATTGCGTGTTGCGTCGGAGACGGACGCTGGTGAGTACTAGGTGTTGTATATACGGACGGGGTAGAGTAGAAGGTTCGTTTCAATTTCAATATTGGGGAGGGAGCCTGTGGAGTATTGGGTGTTGTGTTGGAGACGGAAGCTGTTGAGTACTGAGTGTTGAATTGTATACGGACGGGGTAGAGTAGAAGCTGAGTTCCAATTTCAATATTTGGGAGGAAGCCTGTTGGGTATTTGGTGTTGCGCTGGAGGCGGAGGCTGTTGAGTACTCCAAAGGACGAACATCACTCCGATCTTGGGCCGGAAAACCTTGCACTAAAAACTCTACATTGAATACGGAAAACGTCGATATCATATATGAAGTCACACATAAATACATCAAGGGGACCTTCATAGTGCGTGCTGAAAGCCTCATAAAATGTACACGTTAAAACAGAAAACAATACATTATGAATATAATGATAGCAATAACCATATGGATACTGATACGAATAAGAATGCGAATACGAATGCGAATACGAATACGCACACGAATACAAATACGAATGCGAATACGAATGCGAATACTTTTTCTAGTACGAATACCAATATGAATGTGAATGCGAATGCGAATGCGAATACTAGTCCTAGCAACTACTACGAATACTAGTACCACTACGAATACGAATACGAATACGAATACGAATACGAATACGAATACGAATACGAATACGAATGCTAGTACTAAGACTAATACTGGCCCTGATACTAAGACTAACTCGAGTACTACTCATATAATACGAATACAAACATACTAATACGAATACGAATACGGATACTAATAGAAACACTGATACGCATACCAATACAAGAACGAACCAAACTGTTGATATTATTACGTATACGAGAACAAATTCCTTCCATTTGCGGATACGAATAATGGTGCAAATACTGGTACGAATACTCAGACTAACACACATACGACAGCGAATACGAATACGAATACTCATACTCTTAACAATAATAATAATAATCATCATAATAATAATAATAATAGTAATAATAACAGCAATGCGAATCCCAATTCGATTACGAATACCCATACGGCTACGAATACGAATTCGACTACGAACATCGAAATGTATACAAATACTGCTACCAAGATGATTACGACTGCGGATGATTATACAAGTTCTAATACGGACACGAATGCGAACAAGAATAAGAATGATACGAAGAAGAAGAAGAAGACGAAACGTCCCGAACCCAAAACCTCGAACATGCCCGCCATTCCTAGTCGCCGGAACCAGTGCTGGGCCACCTCAATCCCACAGCCGACACCAAGCTTGACCAAGGGCCCATCAACGCGTTGGGCACCCGGAGGGACGAGGATGGGTAGGGGGAGAAGGAGGAGGACGCGGAG